GAATATGCTTGATTAGCAATAGTAAGCTTAACCTGGTACTTGCAACAATTATCTGTTGTAGCTTTTCCATAACTAGAATTAGAAACTACACCGTAACAGCCGTAAATGGTCAGTAATCATATTGTTACGTTATTTTCTTCTTTATGTTCGTACGGGGTTCAGAGTGAATAATGATGACACTATTTGATTGAGTATCGAAACACGCTTTATTTACCAATATCAATCAGGACAGCTCCAAAACACATTTTACAGTTGTCGATGAACTACTATAAACACACTGACACGATCAGCGACACAAGTTATCAGGCTATCACAGTGGAGACAGCTTTACTGCAAAGCTCCTGACTCTGCTTTCCGGAGTACTCGAGGCTCTCCACACTACAACTTGCGATGCACTCGACGACACACGAGCGCAGCTCCCGACTTTTCAGTTCAGTCGTTCCCGAAGCTCAACACGCTCTCTGGATGATGTACTAACCGTGATACACTAAGAGACTCTTTCGGTGCACTCGGTACTCGTTCCCCGGCTGTCAACTCGATCGACTCCGCATGGCTCGCTAGACGAGGCATACTCTCCGAGACGCACTGACTGCAGACCAGCAGGGTTTATATAGCTTTCAGCTTGTGTTAGAGAACATTCTGGGCTAAACCGGAAATAATTCGTTCCAGAATGTTCTCCTACTGTCTATGGTATGTCGCCAAATGGGCGATTTCTCATCAAATGTGGCAACCATGCCATGCTTTGCCATTTTATGGCAACCCTAAAACTGCTTTGCGGGGAAGCCATCTTACCGTGCCTGTTCATTTTGTAACACTGCCCCCTTCCAAGGACTGCATGTCCCGGGCAGTACAACCCTTGGTCAGAAGCATAATTCGATACAAACAAAAGGTTCTAAAACAAACAAATAACATAACTCAAGAAGCAAATATTTACACTGTATACACGTTATATACACAAATTAGATACATAACAATTTTAATTTATATACATTAAAGTTCAGAATGAATTGCAGTCTGTCTTTTCGTTAATTTATACCCGGGTCAAATACTTTTCTACTGCAATTCTCAGATTTATTCCTGCTTTGCGTATCACACTCTGAAGATTCAGTTCTTTCAGACTTTTCATCCACAGGAAAATCTAAAACAATTCGTACACCACTCTCATTCACACCACTTTCAGATCATTTGAAGCATGTGTATAGTTCACCTTGGTATCATTAGTAGATGGTACATGCTTATTTACCTCTATTTCCTGAAAACCAGTTCCGATGTTTGCACCAGGGTCATGAATTGAATCCGATCCTTTACAAGCAGAAGTATCCGGTTAGAATCAAGTCCTTGTCTGCAAAACCTGCATTATGAGGCACACACCCAGTTTGTGAAGTGGGTGGACTTTCTTGCAATACTGGAGCACACTGCTTAAGCTGTACACCAGCTTCTCCCATCTCTGCATCACATGCACTTTCAGATGGTTCAATTCTTGCTAACTGCGACTTTGTAATTTCACTATCAGTTTCGATGAACTTAACAGTCGCATTTTCCCTTTCTCCCCACTTCCCCTGCAAGCACTAGAGAATCAAAAACTTCTTTCGCGTCTTTTATTTGTTCATGTTTTCGTTCTTTTTCTTTAATCCTGTTGGATTTTTCATCCTTCATTTCTTGATCTTTCTCAGACAGTTTATTAGCTACTTCCTTCATTTCTTCAACCTTCGATTCTTCAGATGCCACTCTCTCATTTCCATATCTTCTTTTATGGCTCCAGTTTCTTCCAGAAGCTCGACTTTCACCTGTTGGAGTTGCTCTCGCATCTTTTCTTGGCCAGCATTTATTTCTCATCTCTTTATATCCAGCTTTTATCTCATCATATCCGGCGGGTCACTGGCATTCTCTCACAAATCCCACTTCTGACAGCAGTTGTTACTTTATTGTCTTCCTATTCTTCTGACACTGTTGCGTTATTTTCTTCCTTCACGTTCGTATGGATTTGGAGTGAATAATGTCGACACTATTTGATGGAGTATCGAAACACACTTTATTTACCAATATCAATCAGTACAGCTGCAAAACGCCTTTTACAGTCGTCGATGAACTACTATAAACATGCTGACATGTTCAGCGGCACATATTATCAGGCTATTGCGGTGGAGACAGCTTCACTGCAAAGCTCCCGACTCTGGCTTTCCGGAGTACAGCTCCCAACTCTGCTTGATCATTCTCGGAAGTCCACGTACTCGAGGCTCTCCACGCTACAGCTCACGATGCACTAGACGACACACGAGCAGAGCTCCCGACTTTTCGGTTCAGTCGTTCCTGGAGCTCAACATGCTCTCTGGACTATGCACAAACCGCGATACACTAAGAGACTCTTGGTGCACTCGACGACCCACTCGGCACTCGTTGCCTGGCTGTCAACTCGATCGACTCCGCACGGCTCGCTAGATGAGGCACACTTTCTGAGACGCACTAACTGACTGCGGACCAGCAGGGTTTATATAGCTTTCGGCTTGTGTTCGAGAACATTCTAGGCTAAACCCGAAAGAATTCGTTCCAGAAGGTTCTCTAACAGTCCATGTTATATCGCCAATTTTGTCGCAAAATGGGCGGTTTCTTGCCAAATGTGGCAACCCTGCCATACTTTCGCATTTTATGGCAACCCTAAAACTGCTTTGCGGGGAAGCCATCTTACTGCGCCTGTGCATTTCGTAACAATATGTTGTCTCTAATATCACTTTGTTAAGTGAATTAAAAGTGTTAGACTAATACATTATATTCTTTGGAATTTTGTTATCATAGAGATACTGAGGCAGATATTTATGCATGATGTTAAACAGTGACTGTAGAATGTGTGAATGCATACTTTCAAGTTATTTTCTCTAAAAACGTGTGCCAAAGATTTAAGGAAAGTTTCATTTGTATGTCTTATACATGAACAATATATCTAACAAATAAAAATTTATAGTATGTGTTTAATATTATGAAGCAAATGGAAAGCTCAAAAGCTGAGCAGCATTTTTTGTACTGCTAGTTGTGACAAAGTGGAAAGTAATCTAGTAGTAGCACTTCTGCTTGTGGATAATTGTCCTAGAAAAATATGTGAATATGTAGCTTTACTATAGTTAGTTTGATTCTGACGTCTGATTTCTGCTATTGTATTATTTTGTTAAATTTGTAATGAATGATCTGCTGTTGATACAGATTTTAAAAATCTGTGTTTATAAATGTCAGAAATTGTCAGCGACTGATTCATTGACTCATTATATTTCACTAACACTGGAGTGAAAGTGAAAGGTAATGCTGTATGTAATTATATTATACTTTTAGTGATCGATCTTAATCCCAAGCAGTACAGCATTTCAAGCTATAAAGTCTTTGAAATTTCGAAATTTGTTAGTCAAAAGTCTTTAATCCAGACTCGTTGGGCGATTCCGGATTACCGGTTTTTTCCGGATTATAGATCATCCGTTTAAATCTGGTAAAATGGCATGCAGGAATTGTAAAATTAAAAATATGAAACCGTAATTTATGGAATAAAGAGCAATTATGATCTAAAGGGTATCAAAATTTACCCAAAAAAAAAGCACAATATTTATTTGTTTACTTTATTAAACATTTCTTTCAACGTGTGCATGCGTAAAGCATACATTACGCATAGTCGAAATTAGAAAATTGCAACCAGAAAACTATTTGATGTGTATTCGTGATGTTTATAATGACGTGGAAATTGAATTAATTTATATATGGGAGTACATCGAGATTAAACGCTACATTTAGTGAGGAATTATAAGCCGAATAAAATAAAAACATCTGCCCTGAAGATGAGGATAGTGCTGACAAATCAACTTCCAGTTCGTTGTACCGCTGCGACGTTTCCCCCTCCCAGAGCAGGGTGCAATTGATAAACAGATTTCGGAATGGTTAGAGAAACAAATCACCTCTCTGTCACTTTCTTCATGCCTTTATCCATTTTTTGCAGCAATTCCACTTTTTGTTTAATGGACATCGAAACGTGCTTTCGCTTTGTAGATCCTTTGGCAGCTCCAGAATTGGAAACTCTTTTTGACATAATCGAAAGTTCAAGCTTACTTTTTATAAAATTGCTCTAACAGTCTTCAAAAAATAATAAGCCGGATCCAATTCGAAGATTAAAGAACAACGCAATCTGCGACATTAGCTGAAATAGATAATTAGATAATTTTAGCTTAGCTTATACCGTCCGTTATACATTAAACGTGCATGCATAAAGGGTATTATGTGCATGTATGCGTTTACGCATGTGCAGAAAGTTTGTAGCTTTGAGGTCCGGATTATAGATCATTCCGGATTATGGACGTCTGGATTAAAGACTTTTGACTGTAGTTTTATTCTCCGTTTGTTTCAAGCATACAGATATTTTTCATTACAGCATTATAAAGTACCAACTATTTTCAATTATTTTTATGCCATCGCTATGTTGTATGCATCGAGAGCTTCTCACATCTATGATTATCTAACTGTTGATGTGTGTTTTTGTAGATTAATGAGCAAATGCATAATTTTGCAACTATTGCTTATATTAGTTATGCAGTTTCATTTGCTATCAGTGTATGGTTAATTGCATCTAATGCTGTTTTTTTGCATGTTTTATTTACCTTTTTAATATTCTGCTTCACTTTGATTCAGGCCAATGAAATTACTGTTAGTTTTATATTCAATTTAATTAAGTTCTGAATATTTTTATGAACTAAATTTCTGTAACTTTAAAATTTTAGTTTTTAATTACATTTAAAGATGTTTTTTTTTTAATTAAAATTTTTGAAATTATTTTAAATAAAAACTTTATTTCTTCTTTTTGGATAGAATTTTCTACATTGTAGCATTAACTTATTTAATAATGTACCTGAAGAAGTGAAGAAGAATTTAGAAAATATCCTACCACTTTATGTGCATGCTCATTTTCCCCCTTTATGTTATTATATAATCCTAAATGCATCTTTTCTTCCATGCTGTCCCATCTTGTGCAGCTGAAATACAGAGTGAAGAAGGTATGCATATACTAATTTTTCCCACGTTTTATTGCTATTGAATGAGCAGATAGAGGCAGTATTAACCTAATTGTCTAATTTGTAGCTTTATCATATTTAAACTGTGAACAAATTTTTTTTAATGTATGTAAAATTCTGTTATATTTTATAATTCCTTTTTTACTTGAGTTTTCAAATTGATAATTTATACTTATATAAATTAAAGGATTATCAGAATTAAAGGATAATGACAGAAATAAAACGTGTAACTGATACTTAATGAAAATTATGAACAGAAATTTGTACAAAAGCATTAGTTAACATAAATTACAATGTTTTGCAGTTCATTTGCAAAATATCAAAATTAAAACGAAATTTATGGAAATTGTAAAATGATAGAAAAATTAAGTCATCTCTTGTGAAGACTTTTTCTGTCATATGGTGTATGGTCACCTCAGACAGATACACTTCGGCAAAGTGGATCAAGTCTTATGCATGCCACTTTCCAAAATGTGCTCGGTTAGGCTCCTGGATTTTCTGGGAAGAAATTTGGTGTGCTGAAATTTGGTGCCCTAAGGCATCCCACACATGCTCAAATGGGATTCAAGTTAGGTGAGTAAGGTGACCAGTCCATTCAGGCAATATCTTCTATTTGCAAGCATTTTAACACCACATATACTCCAGTCTAACTTGGGGTTCCAATACCTCGTCCACATACCTCTGAGCAGTTACAGAACCTCCTTGAAAGCTGTAAAGCTCAGAGTGGCCATGATTCCTTTCTAAACCATTAAACTGCAGTTGTGGAAACAGGATATTTCATGGACAAGGGAAGGCAAGTTGTGTTCCTCCTCCTTTCTAGATCAAGATTTGTTCAGACTATATCTGGACTCGTTAGCAAACGATACTTGGGCCCAGTCATCTTGCCTGCATTGAATGTGAAGATGGCGCTAGTTTAAACTGGTCCCTTTGGAAGCTTGAATGGCACAATTGGTTTTCTTACATAATGGTTTAACCTCGTAAAGCTTCATGCAGCAGAAGAACGGCTAATTAAGAGCTCTTGTGGCAACCTGAAGATCTAAAACCAAATCTTTTTTAGTCGCTTCATGGTTTCTTCAAGCCAACAATGACAGATAACGGTCTTCTGATGCAGTTATTGCTTTTGGTCTCCCTTGATCAGGCTGTCTATCAACTGATCCAGTACTTAAAATGGAGCTCTAAACTCTTGATATGACTTTTTTAGGGATAGTTAAATCTGGGTGTCCCGTCTCGTTTTTACCAATATATCGTCACTTTCGACATTCACTTAAATGATGCCCTTGATCCATAACTACTAAAATACTGATCACTCTCAGAAACCATATTCACTTTAAACAACACTACAGACTGGAATTTCAACATGCGCCCTTCACGCATCACATTGTTTGTCACCAAATTTTCATATTTCCAGCATTAACATATGCACAGAATTACAATTTGTGTTCAATTGTATTTAACATAGTTACAGTATTAGGCATTGGTTGCAACATTTACTTAGCATATTTTTTCTCATTAACCTTCAAATTTTGATGACCATCTTATTATTTATAATTTTGACAGTGTGTATATGCACATACTGGCCAATGAATTAGAAACCTTTGAGATTTTCATTTGAATGCGTGCTAGGAATGATGCAAATTTTTTTTTTATGACATGGGTTTCACATGGTTAGAATGCTAGTATAATTAAGGTGTAAGAGTGCTTTTCATGATAAATGAAGTAAAATGAGAAAAACAACAGATCTTTCACCATTTGAAAAAGTGCTTATTTTGGTGCCCGTTTAAGCGGGGGCCTCGATTTCAAAGGAAGACGGAAAATCTCACTAGGTTCTCAAAAGCAGCCATATGAAAGGTTTTCAAAAGCTGCAATCAGAACTCGCAATCCTTTTCTAGAAGACGAAACTGCGGTATGAGCACAGTTTTGCAAGAGAATGATCAGCGGCGTCTCCAACATACTGTACGGCAGAACAGGGACTCTACTGTGTTTCAACTGACACAGATTATCAACCAAGGCTCTTTCCAACATATTTCAGCTCAAACCATATGCAGAGAATTGCAGATGATATTAATGCATAGTCGGGTGCCTCTGAGAAAAACCATTCATTTCTGCCCCACATGCAACAATTCATTTGCAGTGGTGTTAGGAAAGAAGACACTGGACATCTGAGGATTGGAAGCAGGTAAGGTGGTCAGATGAATCCTTATTTTGCACTGTTGGAAGACGTCGAATTTGGCAAGAACCACATGAAGCCATGAATCCATGTTGCTTACTCGCATTGTGCAAGGATCTGGTGGGAGTATCATGATATGGGGCATCTGCTGCTGTCATGGAAGTGGTGCTCTGGTGCTCCTCGAGGTAAACAAACAGCCATGAGATGCCTAAATATACTGACGGATCAAGTGCACCCTGCATTGTTGTACTTTTACCCTGACGGTGACAGATACGTCATGGACGATAATGCAATATATTGCAATATATTCATGGATGATAATGCTATATATTGTGCCAGAAGTGTTCAGAATTGGTTCAGTTGAACATCGGTCCGACTTCCATTATCTTCCCTGGCCACCACATAGCCCAGATTTTAACCCCATAGGAAATGTGTGGGTTATGGTGGAAAGACGCATCCGATAGTATTCTCCTCTTCCATCTAATTTAAAAGATCCAAAAAGCTGCATAGCCAATGCATGGTATTCTGTGGATATAAATGAACTCAACTCCAGAAGCATGTAGACTCGATGCCCAAATGAATCTGAGTAGTTATCTGTGCAAAAGGTGGTCCAATAAAATATTGATCCTGGGTTTCTAGTTAATTGGCCGGTGTGTGTGTGTGTGTATATATATATATGTATATGTGGATTTAAGGCATTAAATAGTTTGATATGAATGAATGCAGGGGGTTATAATTAAAATGACTTTCTACTGAAAGCTTTATTTGAAGTTTACCTTGGGAATTAAAAAAGACTACATGCACTGCATCATGCTTTTAGAAGAAAAAGATCTATTTAAGAAGAATAGCACTGAAAATGTGGCTGCATTGGAAGAATAGTGTTGTGTGACTAAAATCACCGCTGTCAAAGAATGAGTGGAAGAGAGCATACTTGCAAGATCTATACATGGCTACAATTAAAACTACAAAATATGCACCAACACTCAGATTTTGCTCTTAGGTTTTCAATGACAATTATAATTAATGATATGTAACTTTCAGACCTGATAACTTGTTACCAAGGTATGAAAAGCCTTTTGACAGAAGGTATATTTGAAATTAGCAGAAATGTGAATATGCAGAATTATGTTGTGTGGCGTGTCTCACTTTTCCATGTAATTTGTACGAGCAGCCATTAAATTCTGATTATGAATGTGGTGTAGATTAACTGCTTACTTAAATATGTACCATTTGAACAGCTGACATTTTAAGATCTTCTAAGATTAGTGTTAGGAGTGCACATTACAGCCATCCATGCACTGTCACCTTTCAAAAATTGAGGATGTTTAGAGACCATTGTCTTCATTTAAAATGGAGCATATTGGCTAATAAGTCGGGGAAGTGTCTTAGAACGTCTCAAAAGAACGTGCATATTTTTCTATTTTGAGTATTACTTCTTACAACAATTTTGCCGCCCAGTTGGGATAGCGTTTAGTGACTCTGGCTGCTTTACCAACAGTAGAAGCTCGTGGCTAAAATTAGTGGGGGTGCTGTTCCAAAAAAATTTAACCTTTGTTTTAAAATTGTGTAAAAGGAATATAAAAAGAAAATTTATTTTGAACTTCATGAAATCTTACAAGAAAAAATTAAACATTTCTTAATTACTTTAACCAAAATTGTTACAGTTCAATCTTTTCAATTCAATGTGCAAATTTTTGCACTAATTATACCATCTGAGAGGCTTCTAAATGCTTGGCTCTTCAGGCTTGAACCTGTGTGAATTCCTAAAAGAACCTTTTTATCAGGAAAGCAGGTAACTTGTGTTTTAGTCCAATGCCAGCCTAATAAGTCATGTTGCTTGTATTTCCTTCAGTTTGTTTCTTGATCTATTGTAACAGTATATTAAGCTTCCAACATGCAATTAATTGACTTCTGAAAGTGATATTTGCTAGTACCAAAAATTTGATCTGACTCCCTTGCATTTTCCCTTAACATTTTCAACATATTTAGGAATTTATTATTTATGCTAACAGCATAATAGTTACGGGTACATATCAAGGTAAAATGTATATGTAAGAAATAATAAATATTGAGAATGTTCAGCTGGCTTTTATGAAACATTGAATGCATAAATTAGCAGTACATCTATTCAAATGTCCATTCTATTCTGCTGTGCTCCTTTTAACCCTTTCTTCCAGAATTGGTATACACTGTATAATTTCCTCTTGAGGTACAACAGGCAAAATTAACGAAGTGGAAATATATAAGTAATTATGGTATCCTTTCCCAGAAATTTAATCCAGCCCTTAGGACTGGGCAACAAATACCACCTGTCGGTGACCATTGATTCCAAAGGAATCTTAATGGGGTCACCAAGTTCTTTCTGACTGAACTCTGAGATATTCTTGGCAAGACAATTTTACTCTTGTGGTCATGATATAGCATTTTGCAAGGAGCATAACATGTTTTGGCGGTGAAAGATGCATTGCTCATCTTAATGCACTACATGTGTGTTTCCATTTGATTTTAAGACCACTTACCTGCCAGAGCGATTCCTCTGTATACTTTTTATGAATAGGCAGCACTATAGAATTTACTTTTTTAAAAATAAATCATTGTTATTTGCATTATATTTTGCATTTGTAAAAGTTATACTCAAATATAGTTATGTGAAAATGAAGATGCACTATGGTGATAAACTTTGTATAAATACAATGAACTTAGTCATGATAGTGGTGATTATAAGGATAATTCTGATATTAATAGAATTCTAGTGCCTAGTCAATAATTTGTTAGACATTTAGATATATTAAGTGAGATTTAATATACATTAGAAAGTACATACTCTACAATCAAGACAAGAATGTTCAAGTAAGGAATATTTTGTACGTTCTCACAGGAAAGAAGACAGCTGTTAGATTCTCTATATTACTGGGAAACAGACATAGGGAAACTGGAGTCACTTGTAGGGAATTGTTCCTAAATGAGATGAGAGAAAGCCCTTAACTAAATCTGCATGAAATATATAGTACATAGATAGGAAATGGTATGTAAGTGGCTTAAATAAACTCAATTATAATTAAATATATGTGGTTTGTAGGCAGTAATTAACTGAGCACTGAGCAGCTTGAAAATAATTCCAACCAATACTACTGTTTCTCTGTACAGAAAGTATGACTGGAAGGAGAGAAATTTATGTATTTTTATATGTTAACATAGCTTTTCAATGTATTAAGTGAAAAATTCTAAAATTTTCCGTACTCCATTAGAAGTGTGTTTAGAAAGATATTGGTGGGGCAAAATGTATTTTACTTTTAGAGTAATATTTTGAGGGGGCAGTTAATGTTGCCCTTTATAAGAAAAGTATTTATTTTACTGCTATGCTGAGATAATCATTTTAATCTTATAGGGAAGCAGCGGCGTAATGAGATGATTATACGGGAAAATACTCCTGCTGAACTACCTCCAGATGTTGTGCGATGTAAGTATTTACTGAATGTTCCATTTTTAAGAAAACAAATTTATTTCTGAGGAAATCCTTTGAAGTTGCCAGTTTTTGGTGTTGCATTAACAGTTGTAGGCTTTTCTTTCGAATACATTCAATAGGCCATGGTACCATGTTTCCTCAAAAATAAGACTTGGTCTTATATTATTTTTTGCTGCAGAAGATGCACTAAGGCTTGTTTTCAGAGGATGTCTTATTTTTCATGCACAATAATTAACATTTGTTCATGTTCTAGACATGCATATCTTCAGTTTCAAGAAATATGTTTATTCAGGTTCAAGACGCATTAAAAAATGAACAAAATCATTTATTCTAATACAGTCATGTCGTCATCTTCTGGAACATCATCACAAAGTTCCAAATCACAAATTCTGCCCTGAATCTTTTGCTACTTTATTTCCTCTAAAATCATTGGCCCTAGCATCTCATGTTGAGCATTAGAGCTCTCCTCAAATGATCTGCTTTTGTCCATGTAACTTGCTCATAAGCTATTGCAACCCAACTGTCTGTTATTTTATTCCATGCATTCTTCACCCAAGTAGTGACTTTTTGTAGCTTAGGCTTCACAAATTTTCTTCGTTGATTTCTGTCCATTCTATTTTCAATGTAATTATTGATTTCCATACACAAATTATCTTTAAATTACTTTTATTGCAATATGAAGAGTCTGGAGATGTGCAGTCATTCCTGTGGGAATCATTATTCGATCAATTCTTCTTTCTGCAAGAGAGTTTTTCATAGTTTCAATGTTAAGAGTGCTAGTAAAATTCCTTACAAGCATACCTCTTTGACTACCTCACAAAACAACTTGTAGAAATAAATCAACTCACTTTCTTATTGCTGCTTGTGTGCAGCAAGCTTTTTCAGTCTTGAACATAAATACCTGAAACGCATAAGATTTCCTCTTTCTTTCCCTTAAAGATGATTAGAGGGAGGCTTTCTTTCCATCAAGATGAGCCCACCAGCGGCCGAGCGGTAAAGTCGCTGAACACTGGTAGTTCGGTCCGAGGTTCGAATCCCACGAACGTGAACAATGACTGCATGGGCATTTTCATTGGTTTTCCCCATGTGTTACGTGTATACGAGCCTAGTTTCCCTTAGAAAGTCCTCCACGAAAGGCATCCCTCCTCTTAGGCAGATAGCCCTAGTGTGCTTTGCCATAATTAAATACGCCACGCCATCAAGATGAATCACCAAAATATATTTAATGTGTTAAATTTCATAACAAATGTATGGAAGGTATACACAGAGGCACCCCTCTGATCAGTGGTAGTTTGAGACCTTTGACCCATACACACTGCAGTTTCATTCATAGCAATCATGTTTGTCAGTTGGTACTTAAAGAAGTCGATGCCATCAATGAAGCACTTGAATGTAAGTGCACATCAGTATATTTATGTAACTTCAGTACCTTTATATATGAGCATTGTTGCCGATCTTAGAGACAGTTCATATCCCTGACTGACATCATCCATCCTGTGCTGTGATGCTTTGAATTCAGCTACTGGTATGCCTGGGATGTGGTGCCATTGTAAAGGCAAATACTTGAATATCAGACCTGCATAAAACCAAACACTTTACTCTTCTGTCAGCAATGTTGTGTTCCTTCCAAGCTGACCTGATCCACACTGATGCTTCTTGGCATTTCCTTCGTTAAACTGTTCACTGAGGTTATTGTACTCTGGTCACCATTTTTACAATATCTTGAAATTTTTGCGAATCGAAAATAAATGATCAAGTCTTGGATGAGATACGTTCTACCAATCAAAACAATTTTTCACGTTTATAATGTAATGTATGTAAATTGTTATGCATACTGCTTATCTCAACAAATGCTCAAATTTTTTTTCTTTGTAGAAATCAGTAGAATTTTTTTTTGTGAAACTAACCCCAATAAAACATGGAATTTTATTTAATTTTTATGTTTGAATGTTAGCTTCAAGAATGGAACTAAGAAAGAAGTTATAAGGTCTAATCGTTCACAGGAGCATACGAATTGTCAATGATCTTCTGTAAGATCACTGGTGACTTCTCACTAGTCAAAGGGGTAAAGTTGCTGAACACTGGTAGCTCAGTCTGAGTTTTGAATCTTGTGGACGGGCTGGCTGCATGGGTTTTTCCCCATGTGTAAGTTGTATGTGAGCCAGCTCTCTTAGAAAGTCTACCACGAAGGCATCCCTGCCCTCAGGCAAATAGCCCTCGAGGCTTTGCCGTACTCACATACACCAACCAAACCAAACTCACTAATCAACATGATGTTCAGTAACAATAAGGATAAAGGTTGAAACCTTTTATTCAAGAGAACTATTTACAAGAGTACACCTCGTGCTTAAAATCTAGATCACTGCTTGTGACGTTATGTTACATAGAAGTGAAGGGGCCACCTAATATTTACCCAAAGTAAGTAGACATTAGCTCTACACACTGACTAGAAAACCAACCACGTTCAGGCGTCCTCATGTCATGATGAAATTGCGATTCCAGCCAACATTGCAAGTTCTGCCACCGCCGGGCATTAAATTAGATCAAGTAAAATGCATTATATTACATGGTATATATAGCCATACATAGTTGTACAGGTGCATGTTTTATGGCATTATTTATTGTAATGGGTACAGGCATCATGTTTCAGGACATTACATACTCCAGTAGATAAAGGGCGTGATGTAGATCGGTGTTCCACAGTCGATGGTCCGTGGACTGTCACTGTTCTGCAAGAAATATTTGCCAGTCCATGAAATATCCAGCTATCTGTTCAAAAATTGTGCTAATGGGTCGAATTATTTAACTTACCGGTCCATGAGAACGTACTGAAATATTTTACCGGACCATGGAGTAAATCCAATTGAGAAACACTGATGTAGATGAAGTTCTTTTGGGGCGTGTTTGCAAACATGATTTGTTTACATCAGTGTTTACTATCAAAATTAAGTTAGCACTATAAAATTGTTTACAAAGCTTACTTCATTCTGCATATTTATGCTCACTGCTTTCATTTAAATATTGTTGTATACATTCATTTAAATATTGTTGTATACATTCATTTAAATATTGTTGTATAGATGTGCTGATACTTTAGCTATTCAGTATTGTCGAATGGGTTGCTAAAGTATACGTCGCGGCGCGCAATGAACTGAAAGTTGATCTGTCAGCACTATCCTTATCTTCAGGGCAGATGTTTTTATTTTATTCGGCTTATAATTCCTTACTAAATGTCGTATTTCATCTCGATGTACTCCATCTTTGATATGATTTAAGTCAAATTCCTCGTTGTCATAAATATCATGAATACACTTCAAATAGTTTTCTGGTTGCAATTTTCTAATTTTGACTATGCATAATGTATGCTTTATGCATGCGCGCGTTGAAAGAAATGTTTAATAAAGTAAACAAATAAATATTAAGCCTTTTTTTTTTATAAATTTTGATACCCTTTGAATCATAATTGCTCTTTATTTCATAAATTATGATTTCATATTTTTAATTGTGTAATTTCTGCACGCCATATTACCAGATTTAAATTGATGATCTATAATCCGGAAAAAACGGATTATCCGGAATCGCCGAAGTCTTGACAAGTCCGGATTAAGAGACTTTTGACTGTACACATAATTGGATTGTTTTTCCATGATCTCATTGGCATATTTATAGCTTGTCTAGTAGGGCTCTTGCTTTGATTCACCTCACTGTATGCTATCACATCATCCCCTCTTCTGTTCTTTCTTTCAGCTTTGTAATTCTTGATTACTGTTTTGTTAGTTTTAGTACTCATATCCTTTCATAACATAGCTCCTTATGAAAATTCCCAATTTAATTTTGGATCTAGATGTCCAAGTCATGTTATTTCAGTAAGTTAATTTTTTTCCTTGACCTAAATTTATTTTGTTATAAGTCATATTTCCCCTTACCTCTGCTCTTTTTTTCTCTTTTTGTTGCTGTTCTTGCCTCTAATAGGGCACTTTTTTCCCCAAATGTATTGTCTGGTTTATTAGCCTTATTTATTTATTTATTGATTGTAATCAAATTTTTCTGAAAACTTCTCCCCCCTGCTTTTTTAAAGAAAATAGTAATTTCAGATACAAAATTAGCTTTCGAGTTAAAGGAATTCATAAATGTAATTTAATGAACTGATAAAAATTTTCACAACATTTGAAAATAAAAGTTATCCTGAAAACTATGAAGGGTGTTAAAACTGGTTACATTAAGGATGCTACTGATTGATCTGACTCCATTTATTGAATGAAACAACGTGGAACAGCATATGACATAAAAATACATTTTATTTCACACATAAGGATGAGACTCCTACCAGGAACATTGTGTAGCTGTCTGTTTCCTCCAAGGGCACCGGCCAAAAAAAAACTGTGAGACAAGAGAGAAGATATGATGTAAAACATAATACGTGATATGTGCCTCTTGCTGATTGGCTGATGCAGTGCTTATTGCTTGCACGATGAAGTGCTACATTATAATTAATGGATAAATATTTGTGACAGTCCTCTGAATATGTATCTGTATTGTTAATTTATGTTTTTTAAATTAGTTAATGTAATTTGTTGTTTTAATTAGTATGTTCCCCTAAAAATTGTTAAAACTTTCCTGTAGTGTTATGCAGGGCCTTTATATGCAAGAAGACAAATTTGAGAGTATGTATTAGGAGTTAGATATTTTCTAACATGGGATTTGAAGCTATATGCAACTAATTGAATATATCATAACTTTAAATGGTAATTGTTACATGTGCTATCATATTTTCACTTACTTGTTCAGTGTTTTTAAACACGCTTTGTAGTTGTTTTGTATTAATTTCTTTCAACTTTGTTACTTTTGTATTTAAGTATAGTTATTTTTTCTTGATATTCATCAACACTGTTTAATTTCTGGTCTAGATCCTCTATGCTCTGGCATTTGTATTAATTTGTTTGATTTTTCACTTAAGAGTTCTGGGAAATTTCTAATTTCTCTGCATTCACTTC